GGACACCTGGAGTGAAATTGTGCTGCACTTTTAAAAGATGACGTGCAGGACTTGCAGTCTAGGGGGTGGATGGACTAAGGTGTGATTAAACGTCTTTCACACCCTCCTGGCCCTAAGTTGCAGTGGTCTCTGGTAGACAGCCCTGAGGGCCTCTCAGATAAAGTAGGCTATAGGCTGCGAGCTGCCCAGAATCTCTGGGCTTTGCTACAGTCCAGCCCCCAGCACACCTTCCTGCTCCTGGTCCCACTCCCCTTATGCTGGGGTGTGCAGGAGTATCCTTAGAAGGCAGTCTTATAGCTGTCCTTCGCAGTGCCTGCACCAGGGTAATCCTCCCCCAGGGAGAACCAGACAAAGGAGCAGGAACAGTGTCCTGCTCTGTACCTTTTGAAGCACTAGTTATTGTCCATGCTGGAGGTAGAATACTGCACTAGATAAACCCAATGATTATATTTATAAATAGTAAAAGGTTGTTGTCTGTAAAGTGCCATGCATACCAATGGTATTCTGTATACAAATATACATACATGATGTCAAGTACAGAGCATCAGACGCAAATCAGGATTTATAAAGGTATAAAAATTATTAATATTACTGATTTAAAAATGAATACCTTCCCAGCTGTTACACTCAACAAATAAATACATTTCCCTTCTGTCTGTTAACTTTCCAGATTCAAATCATCACACTTCGCCATTAGATTAAGTATAAAGGTTATTTTAATAAGGCAGAATTTGTTCATCCAGCTTCTGGATCCTCTAAGTCTGTAACTCTGCTTGTGTTTGCCTAGCTGCTGAAAACAATTTCACCTCAAGAATGCTGCAGTTGCTGGCATTGCTCTGTGGTTTTTAAGTGATGGACACTATTAAATTCATTACAATTTAACTATCCTTTCTTCCTCTTAAATGCTGATCATGCATTGGTTGTGCACCCAAAACTGCCACTTTGTTTGTGCAAGGTATGCAGGGGTAAGGTAGGTGGTAGGAGGCTAGTGAGGAGTAATCAAGACAGGAGATGTTATTGGTGTGGACAGGAGTTTTGAGCTGTCTGGAGAGAAACTAGGATAGATGTTACAAATTGTGTGGAGGAAGATTTAGATACAACCTGAATATGTATGTGGGGATGGGGAGGGGAACAAGGCTTGAAGATGGCATCCAAGATGATACCAGGTCTGAAAGACAGGAAGGAGGTTAATAGTGACAGAGTGGGGAATAGAGAGATCTCAGAAGGAAAGTACAGGAGTGGGGAAGAGGTCCAGGTAGTCCTGGTCTCTCTGGTGAAGGTGGGGACAAGAAGTCCTGGATGGCTCCGGTCTTGCCAATGGCCTCCGCCTTAGGAAAATTTCAGGTTGAGCCTCTGCACCAGACACCCACAGGGAGATTTTAGAGAGAGAGACTGAGGTTCAGGATTGGATGGGAAAAATAGATCTGAAAGTCATCAGCATAAAGATGGAAGTTCAAGCTATGTGAATGGATGAGAGAGATTGTATGTAAAGAAGAGAAGGTGGGGCCTCTGTAAGCCCTCATGCACAGTGGCTGAGGAGAAGGAAGATACTCATCTAAAGTGATACTGAAGGCGAAATCCAAGGTTGGAGGAAAACAAGAAGAGGATGGAGTCATGGAAGTCAAGGAGAAGAAGTCAAAACAGGTGTCGCCCACCTTCTTGGAAGCAACAGAGGGTTCAAAGAGTGGGAGGAAAGAATAGAGATCCTGGGGTCTGGCTTTAATGGAGTAACTAAAGACCTCTGAGAGGATTTTGGTAGTGGACAAGGGTGAATCAGGCTGTCTACACTATAGATACTACATCGGCACAGCTACTGCACTGCAGTGGTGCTTCTGTAGCACTGTAGTGTAGCCACTCCTGAGCACCATAGCTAGCTCGATTGAAGTGTTAAGTTTAGAACAGCCCTCAGACTGAAGGGGGTTGAGAATGCAGTTGTATGGGAAGCAACAGTTGTAAGGAACCAGAACTACTTTCCCACCCCAAAGCCGGCACCTCACTCCACTTTCTTTCTGTTTAAGGCACTTACATGGCTCCCATATCTGAGCACCTTACAATAATCTTAAATACAGTTATCCTCATCACACCCATCTGAGGTAGGGAAGTGCTGCTGTTCCCATTTTACAGATAGACTGTCAGTGCCTTAGTTTCCTAAGTGACTTGCCCAATGCCAGACAGTCGGTGGCAGAGCAGGGAGTTGAATCTGGCTCTCCCAAATCCTAGATTAGTGCCCTAACCACTGGACAATTCTTCCTCTCATACCTACTTCCTTTCTTCCTTCTCTCTTCCCTGTTCTTTCTCCCTCTCCCTTCCCATGTCTTTCCATTTAGCTAATCCCCATCCTCACAGAACACTCCCCTGAAGTAAATAGAAGACCCATGATGCTAACATGATGCTCTCAGCCCACCACATTTTTCACTCTGCTTGTGTTATATCCCCCTTCCTTACCATTTGCCACCTTGTCTCTAAAATTTAGATAATAAACTCTCTGGGGCAAGGACTATTTACTAGTCTGTGTTTGTACAGTACCTTGCACAATGGGGCTGCAATAGTTTAGAATCCTAGAAATGTGGGGCTGGAAGGGACCTCAAAGGGTCATCAGGTCAGGCCGCCTGCACTGAGGCAGGACCAAGTAAATCTAGACCATCCCTGGCGGGTTTGTCCAGCCTGTTTCTAAAAAACACCAATGATGGAGATTCCACAACCTCCCTTGGAAGCCTATTCCAGAGTTTAACTAACCTTAGAGTTAGAAAGCTTTTCCTAATATCTAACCTAAATCTCCCTTGCTGCAGATTAAGTCCCTTATTACTTCAACTAATTTTAGTGGACATGGAGAATAATTGATCATGCTCCTCTTTATAAAAGCTGTTGAGAGTAAAAGTTGAGAAACTGAGTTACAAGTCCACCCAATTTAGGCTTAATCAATTTTTGCCTTATTTATACAATGTCAGACAGAGTTGTAGTCACTTAGTCCAGCCGGAAATACATTTATTCCAGGCAAATAATGACAGACAAGACAGAATTGATAAATGGACCCAAATTACCACATCTGGGGCACCGGGAGTTCTTCCACCTTTTATAATAATCATTGCTTTCTCTTCTCCCTTGGTCTGGTCCTTCAGTCCTGTTCTTCAGTTTCTGGTCTGGTGTTTCTCCAGTTTGGGGCCATGCTCACTTAGGTCTTTTATACATTTCTACATTACAGATTATTTAATCTTTATCCCATTGGCTTTTAGCACATCAGCCCTTTGGATTTTAGGTAACCTATACATTACGCATGTGCAAGCTTCAGTTACCCATCTTCTGTATTTTTCTTGCTGGGTTTGCAGTTTGTGGGTCAGATTGTTTTTATGTCACTGTGCCCTGGGTCTTCCTAGAAAAAGTGTGTTTGTTTTTAATTTATTTATTTATCATTTCCTGTTTGTGACTCTTTTTACTTACATCTTCCAACACATGTTATCTTCTGTCAGCAATAACATTTTAAGCAGATTAGCAATTCTATGTAAAAGAATTGCCCAAACCACACATATGCCGACCAAAACCATGGCTTAAGTGTTAATTCATCTATACATAATTACAAATCATTAAAAATACAGCTATCAATATTATCTTAATATTATCATTAATAATTCTTTATTTTCTGTTTCAGTGTTATGAGTAAATATATGTTATTCTGTGCTACATTTAATCTACTAGAAAGGGGAGAGGGAATTATGGAAAACATGATGATTCTTTAATGTCAACATTCCTTGCCTTCTTTGAACATGTTTTTTCATTCAAAGTCCAGTTTTGTTTGTTAATCATACAATTAGAAATTTTCTTGTGAATGCATTTTGGGGGGGGGGGGGAAGGCGTCACAATTTTAGAGCTCTGATATTTAGTTGCTTAACATATTTGAAAACTCTTCATCAGGTCCCCTGCTCAGTCATCTTTTCTCAAGACTAAACATGCCCAGTTTTTTAATCTTTCCTCGTACGTCAAGTTTTCTAAACCTTTTATCGCTTTTGTTGCCGTTGTGTGAATTCTTTCCAATTTAGCCACACATTTCTGAAAGTGTGGCAATTTTGGTTGGCTCCCAGATGCTACTATAGTACAATTAATGATAATAAGTAAGTGGCACAATTGAATTTAGAGGTGAACAGATTAAGGGGAATAGAGCAGTAGTTGGAGAGACAGGTGGGTCAAGGCTGGATTTATGGGGGCTAATGAAATACTCCTTCAACTTCCCTGGTGTTCTGTTAAGCAGAAGAAGAGCTCAAAAATAAATAAGTTCAGGTGAATACAATGAACATATGGGAATGATTAATGGCTAAATGCTGGTAAAATTCCCATTGACTTCACTGGGACCAACCTTTGGTTCTAGATTCCAGGATAATTGAATGATTTTGCCTTTGTGTTGTCCAGTAACTTTTCCAATCCCTTCAGAAACACAGAGCGTCGTTCCTGTCTTTGTTACGGAAAGAGCCGTACCTGCCTGTCTGCTCTGATCAAGATTTTACAAAGTTGCTATCTGAAGTGCATGTAGCAAGACTGAATCCTATGTCTATTTTAATTACACCCATTACAATAATATAGTATGTCTAAATAAAAATCATTCAACTATTCTCTCTATAGTATTGATCCCCTGGGAACTGAAATTATCTTGCATTAGCAAGTCCATGATTTGCATCCTTTTCCCTCTAGTGGCTAGCATTAAAGGAAATGATCAAACAAGTATTTTGTTCCGAAACTTTTTCTTCATGCCATTGTATTCTGAAACCAGGCCAGTGATGATTTTTTCCCCCTGGATCTGTCTTCAAAACCCTCATTTTCTTTCTTCTGATTTAAGCAAGTCTATCTTAGATCCATGGTGGATAGAATGTTTTATTTTTACTGTAAGCAACAACTAGTTTGTGACTTGTAAATAATTTACATGCAAAAGCATCAAAAAGAAAACATTTTATGCAAATGTCAGTGATATTCAAGTCATTGGAGATGCCAAGTTTACTCTTTTGTGCTTCCAGATTTATCAGAGATGCTGGTTAGTATTCAAGAAAGCTTCAAGCAAAGGGCCAAAACGACTGGAAAAGTTTTCAGATGAGCGTGCCGCCTATTTTAGGTGCTATCACAAGGTAAGATTTGGCCATATGTAAACTTACCCCAATTTCCATTGAGTTCATAATTCTACACTGCTCCCACAGATGTTTAGAGGCCAAAAATGCTTAGTTTTGCTGCTACTTCAAAGACACGCTCTCCAGTGAAATTTAAAGATTTTATAACGTGTGTAGTTTGACAACTCATCTACAGTGAATATAACTGTAAATAATCAAGATACTCAAAATCCTGGGCTCACTTTTGTGTCTGTCCTAACTCTGTTGCACTTATGAGCCTTAAAGCTAGTTGAAAAGTTGGAAAATATTCATGGAAGTTTTTTCACAAAGAGTGTGTCCCCTCTTTTTCAACACTGAAAACATGTGATTAAGTACCTTTATGAATCAACGCCAGAGTTTATTATTAGCATGGTAAGAATAGTGACCTAAATACAGTTCAGACATATAAAAAGATAGGGCCCAAGTCTCATTTACACGAAGGCCACTTAAAAGTCTCTTTGCACTGTCAAAGATGTAAGTGGGAGTAAATTAATATTTACACCTACTGTACTTTAAGACCCATTTGCACTGCTAAATGAGTATAAAATGGCCTTAATGTAAACAAGAATCAGGCCCAGAGTGCTTGCCTGGAAAGGGGAGTCTAAATCATAATTGCCATAACCATGACTTTAAGGGCCCTACCACCAGGTTTTTTTAGACACAAGTTTCAGTTGAACTTGTAATGATCTATATTGGCAGGGATTATTTGTGCAAACTCTTGGAAACATAAAGGACCACATTCATCCTTAGTCTAACTCTGCTGAAGTTAGCGAATTTTGCTCCGTGTTAATATGAAAGCCCTCGTTAGATGCTTTTCAGACCAATGAACTTCCTTAATTTTTCTAATCACTTCTCTCTAGAGACCTCTGCTCATCTCAGTTCATCTGAGAATTTACATGAGTAATTCCCTTGGGCATGGAGTTGAAAATAATATGCTTTAATTTATAATCTTTGTTGGTAAAAGCTTAATACGTTTGAAAATTAGGAATTATGTGCATAACCTTCGAGGTGCCTGAGACTGCAGATGAGCTTCTGAGGCTGATCCTCTCTTATCCAGTTTGTGAGACATATAGGAGGAAATCATGAGGGAATACTGGATCTGAATTCTCTCCTATTTGTCTCCATCTGTATCTATGCTCAATATAATTTATAAGGGATTGGTCATAAAACCCCAGGGCTATTTGTAGTACATCATGCCCAGAAAAAGGCGTTCATTCAAATTTATATTAAGCAATTTGCAAAAGCAATGAAAAGTGAATAATAATTTTTCCATTTGATCTGTGTGGGGATTACACAGTATATATTTTTAGAGTAGATACATTTCAGCTCTGTGTGGAATATGTAACCTCTATGATGGTGCAGTTCTGACAATTACTGATGCAAATTTAATCTCTTATAATATTAACGCAGAGCATCAGCCATATATGCACCATTGCCTGGAAGATTTTGAATTTAAGACTGGATTTGAGATCCAAGAGGAACCAAAATACTTAAGGCCAAATTTTCTTCTCTTCTTTAAGAGGATATCCATTTTTGCATTTGCAAGTTTATTACATATGCAATCCAGACGTCAATTCCTGCAACTGGATCTGCACAAGTGGACCACTATACCACAGGGCTACCACTAACTTCAGAGGGATTCCATGAAGGCATAGGGATCCAGCCACATAAATCAAGTTGCAAGATATGGCCTAATATCAAGTAACTGATTTATGGATGTAATCGGGAGCTCAGACAGCTAGTGTGGCATTTACAATAGCTCTCAGTATAGGCCAAACTTTGCTCCCAGTCACTTAAATGGTAAAACTCCCACTGATTTCAATAGGAGCAGAATTCAGCCAGTTCTGGGTACTTATGAAAATCTCACCCTTAATCAGCTAAACTTACACCCAGAAATTGTTTTTTGCAGCAACTAACACTAGACATGGTTGAAAGTTTTTGTTTAAAAAAAAAAAACTTTTGAGTAAAAAGACCATCTAAAAAATGTTCATGGAAAATATTTTGGGTTGTTTAGAAATGTTTTGGTTTAAAAAAAAAAACAACAACCCAAAAGCAAGCCCCAATCTCAACATTTCCACCCCAATCTCAACATTTCCACCCCAAAACATGAAAAATTTCTAAGGAAATAAAACATCTTCATGTAATTTTAAAATTAAAAAATGCATGTGCAACATATACTTCTGAAAGTTACATTAGTTCTATCTAGAACTACATTTTATGATATTTTTTGGAGTTGTGTGAAAGATTTGACTCAGACACTGAATACACTTGAAATCTGTCTAGGTTTGAGTTTGACCCGCATTTCTAGATCAGCCGCCATCCTTTCAAACCTCTATGTACATGCACTTCCCATTCAAGATTTTTGGAAACTGTTCTTGCTCTTTCTGGGTATTCAGAAACATTTTGGTATGGTTGCTCATGCTGCATTTTGAGTTCAAGCCCAAATGTGTCAAGCTAAATGGTATATTCCAGTCAGTTGACACTCATCCACAGGCCAAGCAGTCAGTTGGCCAGGACTGTCCTTTTATTCCCCCAGAAAGCCCAATTCCTAGTCACCTGATGCTTTGTCAGGTGACTTCACTCACTGCTTCTAGGTGGGGAGACCACCACCAGACCAAATCTGATACAGGTTCAGCTGAGACCTCAACCCTCTTAATGGGCCAGCTCATCCTGTGACAGGCTAATAGTCCCACTTCTGGTACTGGTTCTGGTAAATCCATGAGAATTTAAGCAAACCTACAGTGCACAAGCCATGCTTTCCCATTGAGATTCTGCCATGGGAAATCCATGTTATTCCAACCAAAACTTTTCAAACTTCAGAGCCCGTTAACCAGAGCTGCCCCAAGTTCCAGATATATAAGACTCAAATGTCTAAATACATGGGAAGCGAAGCCACAAAGAATCCATGTAAGGTATTCTGCAATTTCCTGTACAAAATGGAGTAGTATTCCAGGATGTCTCCATATGTGGGACCACAATGGACAAGAATTTGTAGGTGAGCCATGCATGTGGCCAGTGGAGCTCGACATTGTAAACATGTTGGTCAACAAGCCTGGGAGTGGATGTCCTCATGCTCAGTAGAAGTGTGTTCACAAGAAGCCAGTTTGCCCCAACGGTTTAGATGTAAACTGTCTGGCACAGGGTCTGTCTCTAACTATAAGTTTGTACAGTGCCTTGTATGACAGGACTCTGATTTGGAGCAGGGCCCTAAATGCACTACTACAATGCAAATTAGTCACAATAATAATTATCTATATCCAGAATATTTCTGCTGCAGTATGTACGTTTTCATCAGAAATCATTTGTAGTCTAGAGTAAATGTTATTTTAATTTTATGATTTCATTCACTATTCCAACAGTGAATCTGGAAGCGTATTCTCTCCATGCCCCTCTCCATGCCCCTCACCAAACAGTCAGTGTCATCATTATAATTTACTGCTTCTCCATGTTTATCATTCTTCTGTGCACACCCAAAAATGAAAAATAAGCAATGCTTATCAGACAATATTGTTTAAATTTAATTATGCACCAGGATGAGCTATCATTTGCCTGGGTAGTATTTCCCCTTTGCTGTGGTAACAGAGTCTGTGGCGTAGCAGAGTCCACATTTTTCATTGGGAGAGAAATTTGAAATGGAGACAGGGTGTTTTCCAGCTGTAGCATAACTTATTAATTTACAAAATGTCCACAAGTCCTGTTTACTAGGCCTGGTCGGGAATTTTCTGACAAATCTTTTTGTTGAAAAATACCATTTTATTTAACTGTTTGTGGGAAAGGGTCAGTTTAGACAAATTTTTCAACACAAAACAACAAAATTGGAGGAAAGAAGTATCAGAATTGACGATGTTTTGTTTTGACATTTTTGAAACACAAAATTCCAGTTTTCCAGGTTGAAATGACTTTTCTTTTGAAATTGATGCTAGCTCTAATATAATAATAATTAATTAATTAATTGAAATCAAAATGAAACTTCTCAAAATTACTAAAAGAAAATGTTTTGATTGACCCAGCTAGATTTTTTTCCTGTTTGTGAAAATTTTCAAATTTTCAACCAAATTCAGGATGGGAAATTCTTTTGGTATCTCAAAAATTTTCATGGGACAAGACCATTTTCCACTCAGCTCTACTATTTTTCTTGTACAGAGATGGTAAATTCAGTGATAAAGTTGCAGATTCCTCAGCTGGTGTAAACTGAAATAACTCCATTGACTTCAGTGGAGCTATGCCACTGATTTGCATCAGCTGAGGGTCTTGCCCCAGTATGTCCAACCTGTAGCCAAAATAACAGCAGCTCCTTTTTCTGCCCCTTACTCTCGACAAGCCATCTGGTTTGAGCTGGGAAATCCCTTGTCCTCAAATCACTGCCCCTGTTTGCATGAAGTTCCATGTGCTCAATGTTAAGCACAGACTAGTTCAGGTGCCCCTGGATGTTTACCTTTATCTGACAGGTGATTGAAGACTTTTAGGCCAAATTTAGAATTTTTGAAAAAATGTCAACCACTGTATAAGCTGGTCAAAATAGCAAAAACGTATCACAAAATCTTTTCTTTTTTTTTTTTTTACTGTTTTCATCAGAAATCTGAAAATTTTCCACCAGCTCTGCCTCATCCAGATACTCTGCAATACATAGGAACTCCTCAGTCAGGTGTGACCATAATCAATGTCTATCGGAGCCGAATTCTGTGCTAGTGTCCATCCAAGCAAACGAGATTGTCTAATCCAGTGGTTCTCAAACTAGGGTTCTCAAAATGGGGGCTGCAGGAAGGGCAGCCAGCACGTCCCTCGGCTCATGCCGCTTCCTGCAGCCCCCATTGGCCTGGAGCGGCGAACCGCGGCCAGTGGGAGCCGCAGTTGGCCGAACCCACAGACACGGCAGGTAAACAAATCGGCCCGGCCCGCCAGGGCTTTCCCTGAACAAGCGGCAGCCCTAGTTTGAGAACCACTGGTCTAATCCACAGTGTAGTTTGAATGGTCATCTGGAT